CGCACTCTGATGCGAATAGGACAACAGGCGTGCTTAGCTCGTACGCTCGAAACCCTAGCCATCGATGTGTGTTGCATCCAAGAAACTCGCATTCAAGAGTTGTGAGTAACTGAAATAATATGATCCGTACGTATGGTGAAGCGGTGGTGATAGTATTTTCGAACCTCCTCACCATCGTGCAACATTCCCTTTGATTCGTTGTCACATGGAAGCCCTTATATCAACCCGTTCACCCTCCTCCCTCCCCTGAAAAAAATGCTTTTACAATTGTGTATTCAGTAAAAAAGGAATTGGGTAAAAAACAAAAGTTAGTGCATTATTCAATAGATGAATTGCAGGTCAACAGTAGAAGAATAATATTACTAAAAAGAAACAGGAGCCAACGAGGCGAAAGCCGTTATACTTCCGCGCACAAAGTTTGCAATTGGACTACCACTAGGGTTCCATCGTACTTGGAGAGTATTCCACCAATAGTAGTAGAAAGATATTCCATACCGCTTAATATATTGAGTTTTTAATTACTGTCCATTGTGAGGTGATGTATCGTATTAGTAGTATCTCAATCAGAAATGATAAGATGTATGCATTGTTCCTCTAAGATAAACCTTAGCAATTTCTAGTTGGAAGCAAATATCCTGTGTAAGTGTGTGTCATGAACACTTTCATATCCTGTGAAATATTTTGGCTTAGTGAAGAAGTTCACTCTCAGGAGTGTAGCCATAATCAGTTCTGTCACAGTTAGTGTGCAGAATGACATAACTTCAATGCGGAATTTCGGAGTGGTCAGTTGAAGCCGGTCTTCATGAGGGATTGATATTACTTCTGGTAACCTACGATGCAGTTATCGCCTTTTATATTCAAAACTTAGGGGATTAAGATCGATAGAGTTTTCTGAATTATAAGGACAGTTATTGATTGAATTCCTACCTCTGGTAGTGTGTTAATAAAATTATGAACATTCGCCAAACGTGCAGCTTCAATTATCCCATCCATGGTGACTCGTTCGGCCTCAGTTCCGTATGCAATATTTTCTTTGATACTGCGACTGAAAAGCCCCGATTCATGCGAAATCAGTGCACACTGCGAACGAATCCAACTAGGCGCGAGATTTCGAAGGTTCCACCGATCGAAGTAGATCCCGTGTTCGGGATTCCCAGATGGAAGTGGGTCGTGGAAACGCTGAACCAGGTCCAGGATTTCTAGTCGTCCGCTACCAGGTAATCCAGCAAATCCAACGNCAACGACTTGACCCGGTCCGATGGTACCGGAGAATTGCTGAAGAAATAGCCAACACGACAAATGAAAATAATTTTGCCCAAAGGGTACAAATTATTCTAATATTCGATGAGAACGAACCCTGCAAGGTCAAATAACTGCAGGGATGAAGTGAGGAAACGCATGCATTACGTGTCATTCATAAGAAACGACCTATGACAAAAAACACTGTCCAACAACACTCCTTTTTGGGCGTTCTATTCAATGCTTTTGAAACCAGGATCAGTAAAATATCACCTCGGCTGATAAGGAAAGTTGGGCAAAATAACGGACCGGTTTGGCGGATAGACGAGAACAAATAAAGTCAACCAGGAGCAATTTTTCATCAGCTCATGAGTACATCACATGTTGTCGAGCACCAGTTTCGAATAGAACAAGAAAACACGATCCCCAATGCACCGAAAAAGAGTACTTTTAAATAACGAGAAAAATTGAAATTGCTTCTAGCATTTTCAGCTTATTCGTCTTTACGGTGACGACTTGACACTTGGGGATAGACTGAATGCAGAAGAAATCACTCACTGTTAGAAATTCGCATTCCGATGACATTCTGTTCCATTCTCCCGAGGTCACGTGATCAAAGGTAACTTTTCCACTGAATTCGGAAGATTGTGGTCTCAACCCATCTTCCTTCAAAATTTGCGGTTTTCTATCCAACGTGGCAAATATTAGCTCAGCGCTTGCGGAGGCAATCTTTATCTCGGGCAATAGATCAAAAAACTTCCCGTACGATTGGGCACCCATATTCATCACCGCAAATGCTCTGAGATCGGAGGTTGAACAAAAAGTAATTATTTTTAGATCGGGTAATAGTGAACGAATGCCCGAAATCGAATCAATCTATGGTAGAAACACCGATGACCTTTCAGGATGATAGAAATTTTACTACTCCTATTTTTATTTGTTTATGGGCAGAAGTTCTCAACGGGGGGGGGGAGGAGGAGGAGCTCAGCAAAAGTGTTAACAGTCGGTGTGGAGTTGCTACAGTCCAATTGGAACGCAACACGTGGCGTGCCGTTCCATAGTTTTAGTGGTGTATGAGTGTATTTTTTGCAGCCAATTTGTGCACATCCTTCAACAGTCTCCTTCGCATATTAGCCTTCAGTTTCCTTCGGCAACATTCATCGTGGATCGGTTGTCCAAGAAGTTAAATAGTAAGACTGAATGACCTATGGTAAACTTCTTGTTTACCTTAGTTAGCTGTCGACTGTTGGGATATTGATTTGAACTGACCATCGTTCATGCTTCACCTTCCTCAGTTCGTTTAGTCAACCGTACACTCGAAAACATCAAACTCGAGTTTTGCTTTTATTATTATTATTATTATTATTATTATTATTATTATTATTATTAGCTATCTCAGTCAGTCCATGGTACAACTAACAAACCTAGTCAATATGAAAGGAAGGCACGCATTACCTGAAAAGCCTTACCACACTAAGTGAGTGTTCCATGAACAGGTATGCACCGAGTTCGAATACAGCGGCCAGTGTGAATATCCCAGCTGATTGGGTAAGGGAGTACACAACGGCCAGCACCAAACTTTCTTTCGTTTCGAAACTGAAAGGGAGCAACGTTATTGGTCATGAGTGAAAAAAGTGAAAAGTTATGTGGGGACAAGGCCACAAGATAATTCGGGATAACGGAGGACTTGATCTAATTACATAGTGAATTTTGTCATGAATGGAGAAAATAAAAACTAAACGGAAAAGCTAGGAAGCACTACCTGATAGTTGTTTTCACCTGATTAGGTCTCATCGGTAGTGCGTATTCATTGATCAAAATTGAGGCTTGAACTCGGAACCTCACAGGTGGATCATTAAAATGCTACCCAGTGGACCACTGGACAGCTAATCAAACCGTTTTCCATATTGCTTGAGCACAATAAAATGATTTTTGAAAGTTTGATCTGAGCATCTAACCTCGCAAATCTCAGTTCTAGTTTCAGGGATTACGCCCAGGGGTGCTGTACTAATGTACCAGAAAAGACCAAAAAGCAGTTATTTGTTAGGTAAGCAAAAACCTAAAGATCAGCTTTTTTTGACCCTCTCGAACATTGCTACATCAGCTGTGCATAATGCAAATGTAGAAAAAATAAATGTTTAAAAGCCTTCAGCCACTTGACCTTGTTCTTGCATCTGAGTTGTTCCAATTGAACTAGCAAACAATTCCGAGGTAGGGGGACGGAGGTGGGGCGAAAGACAGTAAGCATCATTGATTACCGTTTAAGTTCATCCAGTTTTTGCTCGTACAACGCGGTGAAATATTCCTGTAAGTTCAAATATTGCACAGTCCTAATGTCGGTCAACACATCATTCACAAACGGCAATGCGGACGGAGTTGGACGAGACCGAACGAAATGACGGAACTGCAATGAGAGTGATAATAAAACGCACACACTAATACAGAAGCGTAATCAGATTAAACAAGAGAGAGAGAGGGCAGGTGGGTTGCGAGCAAGCATGGTGCCAACGTCGCAACAGTGATAATAACAACAGGGGATGACTGGAGTGGGATAAAGAACAGAGTGACATGGAAGTTAAATTGGATAACAATTGATAACCGGAATAACAACAAATTTTTACGTGTTTCACCGTACGTACACTTTTTGATATTTCGTGTGTATTAGTTTATCATTTTTATGGGGCATGGGATTTCAACAGAGAATAGACCGTACATCATTCGCGCCAGTGACTTTTATTCTGGACCATATTTCTTAGGCTCTCTAATCAACGACAGTCCTCAATTTTTGGGTCTCATCCTAGAAGCCCGGCCACACCAACCGGAGACAAAGCTGAAGCTAGTTTCTTCATACCTCTACATCATGCCATGGTCTGACCACCGCGGCGCTTGTTCCAACCTTGCCCGGCACGTGAAAAGAGAGAACGGAAAGGTAGTCAATGGGCAGGCATAAGCGAAACGTAACCAAGCCATCGGAGGTGGTGTAGAGCGATTATTTATTTTAGAGAACGACTATCCGCACCCAATTCACGACGACGAACCTCGTAATTTCTCATTCGATGTTCCCACCAGACACGAGCAATGCTTCGGAGACGTCAGTTGTCGAATACAGAGTCGATTAGCATCCTCCAATCGGAGAGGCTAGGCTTCGCAACTGTAAAGCAGAATGCTACGAACCGCGGTGATGTACACCCCTCCCTTAAGGGACAGTCGGATGTCATTGCGGCGCCACATGTGTCGCAGGTTGGCGAAAGTTGCTCTAGCTTTCGCTATTCATGATATGATATTCTTCCCAACACCAAAACCAGCTGCGATCAAGTACTTAAGGCTCTCAACTACTTCCAGCTGCTCCGAGTGCTGGCATAATCTACTGGCAGTCTTTTGCAAACACTGCGTTTGGACAGCGCAAAGCACATACCATACCTGAATACCTCTATCACAGGGCGGTTTAAAGCGTGTTTGGTTGACTGTGTATTGTCACCCAGCAAGATGATGTCTTCAGCAAATTTTAAGTCAAGGACTCTGTTCCCTGGGAAAAGTTTGACTCTAACGTTTGCTAAACCTGACAAAGCATTCTGTGGAACATCCTCTATGAAAAAGTTGAAAAGGAATGAGCAGGTTCTGAGAAATAGGCACATTTGAATGACAAACAAAAAGTGTATAAACAGAGAGCAAATGATTTTAAACGGTCAATACTGTTCTGAGAATAACATCAAACGCATAGAGTGATCCGAGGCAAATTAGAGTTTCAGGCCCCGGCAGGGAAATACAATTAACTTGCAGATGTCAATGGTGAAAAGGAATAGGGTGTGACACTGACAGCAAAATGAACAAGTATGTCTATTAAAAAGGGAAAACATGTACCCTTCGTAGTGTAATATAAAAACATTCACCTATTATTCGGTATTGTGATATCCTTTTTTTAATCCTGCCATTTTACTGAACGTAATAGTTTTAAGCAAAAAATAATTGATAATCCTCATTGAAAGAGTTTTATAAATCGGATTACTTCGAAGTTTTGATTACACATTCCTCGGTGATGAACAGCTACAGAACTGAACAAAGAAGGCATTCACAAGTGAAGTTTAGTTACGGAAGTCGTCGACTAAGCATCGGGACCAGCATAAGTGAATCTCAAAATGCTCTTATAGATTAGAAGAATCGATACCGAGGCGGACACAAACGGAGCTGTCCAACAGTGAAATTAATTAGTGGTAGTGATTGTGGTAGTAGAGTTCAAATATCAGAAGTCGTACATAGCCCTTGGCACTGTACTGAGCGATTTTCAGCAGTGTCACCCATGCAAAACATTTTCTGACTCATGCATTAATGATGCCCAAACGCATAAACTTTTATTTGTTTCGGTTGTGATCAGATTCAATAAGCAAAACTACCTGGATCGTGCAAGTATCGTACAAAGATCAATAGCGAGCAGTGGACGGTTGTTTCATCCTTATTTGAACTCATCGGGAATGCGTACAACCAATGTGTTTCTACTGGGACTTGAACACTCAACTCTCATTTTGGGAGCCACAATTCTTACCTTTACCCCACACGGTCAACGGGACGTCACAAAGATTGTGTCACGTTGAACTTGTATGGGTGTGACTCTATTGAACTTTCTTTCATCTCCATATGTCTGTGATAAATTTTTTTGAAAATGTTATGCTCCACCAAAATTAAGAGGAACCTCTTTTCATCAATTTGATCCTTCGTTTCTGTGTGCTAGTAATTGATACAAACACACTGCAATGGGATTGTCCCTTGTACTTACTTGTATCAGGCTCCCCAAAATCACCAGTGGAACAAACACCGCGGTGACCAGGGCGAGGGGCCAACTGCACGAGAATGAGATGGCCACGGAACAAATAATCAGTGCGAGGGCTTCAACCAACTTTCCAATCTGATAGCCGGATAGAGTGCGAAGATGTCCGACTGTGTCCGCCAGGTGTTTGGTCAACAAATCCGCGCGATGATCGAGAGACCGAAACCATGAAATCTCCTGCAAGTGAAGATGATTGCTAGTCATTTGTCGGCACACAATGAGGATTGAATCGGGGTAATTCAGACCCTAAATACCGACCGAATTACTGTCAGTCAGTATCTCGCAAACTTTCAGGGTGCAAGTCTTCTATGGAGACCGAGGCAAAAATATTGTGAGTAGGTTTTCACTTTCTGAATCAAGCAACCCTATCGCCTACTCAGTGGAACGCTCTACATTTTCAATGCACCAAAATCATAAAAGCATTTTGCATAAAGTGCTCGGAATTCACATATTAAAACACGATGTCTCGGATTCAAAACCATCAGAGGTAAATTATAATGCTTGCTCAATACCACGATTAATCGATCGACAGCAAGTTGTTTGTTGACGTAACAATAGGTCGAGATGTCGGATTTCAGACAAGAACCGAGCTGTGTTCAGAGCTGATCGTAGTGCGCAAAGCGGTGTGCCAAATATACCCTGAGAAAGGTTGTTAGATTTGTGCACTCTCGCATCATAACTCAACGTCTCACCAGGTTTTAACTACTAAAAAATCAGTTTTTATGCAATCAATCGAGTACTGCTTCGGAGAAGAATGCTATAAAATCAGCAGTAGCGTGGTTATAATTGTGCACAAATTGCATCTCATCTATTAGATCAGTGGTGCAACTTTGGGGACAAACTCTATCTCACTATATATACTGATCTGATAATCGGTGGAAAGATTTCCATTCCCGTGTTTGTCTTTTTTTACGCTTTTTCTTCGCAACTTATCTGGATCAGGAAACCGAAACTGGTTGGACCACGATGTAAATACTCATATTGAAAAAAATGCGTTTGGTTGATATGCCAGATATGCATACGGATTAGGCAATAAACCCTTGAGTCAAAATACTGATAGGTTAACCTCCATTTATAACAAAACTTAAGAGATTTTGAAGAACAATGACAAAGTCTATAACTCCAGACTTCGCCTTCGCTATTTTTCCTGTAGCATATAGAAAGAATGTCATTAAGTTCATAAAGTGATTGACTAAATGTTGATATTTGGTATTGGTTTATATTAAATTCACGGGGAATTGAAAACATTCAAATTGTAGCTTTAAGAGGGACACTTTTCTTCGATATACAAATGAGAAGTGAACGATGCAACATCTCCGGAGTTTCACCGGAGAAATTTTAAGAAGTTGTGAAATCGACTGCATTAATCACGTAGACAAAACTTAAAGCATTGTCTGTAAAATATAACCGACCAGAGAAAAAAACAGACAAGATCTGTCTATTTTCTTCAGAGGACGGCTATCGAGTGGATAGTGTGAGGCAATATTTGTTTGCCAGAGACGCAGATGGAAATCAATTTGCCATTTTCGAGCACATCATCCGCAGAAAGTACGTCGAACACTGATCAATAATAATGGTAGCTTAATCAAACTGTAGTCCGTTTAGTAATGCTTATATCATATCAAAGCCAACTGTATCACCTTGACCCCTCTGTCAGCTAACCGCGAGTTCACGCAATCGTACTCGACCCACTCAAAATTTGAATGACACCACTTGTGGTATATTTGGAAGTGTAATATGGCCTTGGCATTTTGATCAAGGTATCGTGTTGTTGACAGCTCCTCGAGTCAAGACAATTTATCAAACAAATCATGATGAAACAGTGTTCGTGGCAAAGAAATTGATCTGCGATTTTTGCTTGTGAACCGAATAGCCTCATATTGCTCTAATCACACAGTTGGTAACTTTCGTCGGTGTTCACAACCAAAGGCGAGCCAAAACCTGCTCCATAAGTTGGTGCATTTGTTGACGGATCACGTCATTTCACATATCCGAATTGCAATATGGTGTAACATCATGATATTTTTCATGATCATCTCTATGTGGGATACTTAAAGATAAATATTTTGCATTTTTTTCCCTCGCAAGCGTTCAAGAAAGGTAGCCATTTAATTGAAACAAGCATTTTATACACAGGTAGATGCTAACCCATATTTGTTAACACATGCGAATAGGATGAAATGCTCTCGGATACCAATTCATCTTTTGTTCACTTCCTTTCTTCATGGCATTACTCCATCTTTTAGCTGTGGGGCGCATACGTTTGATGAGTGAACTTTCGATAGGCGATTTTACCCTATTAATCTGATTAAGATAACCAAAAAAGAGTAAGCTAAGAAACTGCCATTTCGGCCAACAGCTAACGCCACAACAGTAATATGCTATGGTGTATTATCCTAAAAAAAATAGCCAACCGTAAATAACCCTACTGTTCTAATCAAGTCACATACTGTGACCAAAAACATATTTTCACTGAGTTCACAACAGGAGAGTGTTGTGTCGGGGTCAAACAGTCGAGGTTAATTGATGATAGCAAAGGNGGGGGGGGGGGAAGGGACGGGATTGTCTCATTTGTTCTTTTATTCGTATATGAACGGGTTACGTAAGCGTCGTCACTCCAGAACTAGGAACAAACTGTTTTGCAATTGTTGACCCGGATTGTTTGATCCCAACACAACACCCTCTTGTTATTTTCGTACACCAAGGTGAGTGTAATGAGTTCAGGATGAGCTCACCGAATATGACCAATTTCCCGGACCTGCTTTTGTAGACACTTTTGTTAAAACATTCCCTTATGATCTTACTTCAAATTTACACGCCTGATGGTCTCCTTCTGTTGGTTCTCCCCTCCCCTCCCTCCACACCGAAATAACTGTCCTCATTTGACTGCAGTTCAAATCATCAGGAGAGTTTGACACAGTAATTTTGCTACCGATGCCATCAACTATTTTGAAATCATCTTGAAGACGATCTCAACTTTCGAAATATCTGTTCAATGTGTCACGAGATTAATGGAGGACTGGATTGAATTTCAATGAGAGAATTTGTTGTGTATAGAGCAAATGCTTACGTTCTGCCTGTAAGGTTCCGGGTTCGCGATCTCCATTTGGGTCGATGGATTCGCTCACTGCTGATGAAACCTACCCAGGGTGAAACAGTTGTATAGTGAGTGCTTCCTGGATTCATTTGCTCTATACATGACGAACGACCTCTTTGAAAATGTTAACTATTCATTTCTCAAACTGTTTCAGGGTTAAAAAGGTGATTTCGCCCTATCTGTGTCAATTTTTTAGAGCAACTTTTATCAGTGCACCATAATACTGTCTTCGGATTCCAATAGACATGATATCTTGCTGCTAATTAACGGGTACTAAATAAATAGGAAAACGACATTATCATACGTGTAGGGGTATGTTGCCTAGTCTCGAGGTGAAATAATTGAGCACATGTCAAATGATTATAAATGCTTATCAAATTCGATAGAATTTTCAAGTTATCCCTATTCACAAGACTTCATAAATAATTTTAACTGGTCCATTGGTAGATATTCCGTGATTGCGTTAGTTCAGCAAGATTTTAGAAATGTTTCAACCGCCCAGTACTTTTTTCCATTATTAAATCAACCCTCTAAAATCTCGATACGTAACTTCGTTCACCTGACCCAGCATACAAACTGATTAGAAAAAAAAAATCTTTTTAGCAGAATTTTGTCTTCATGTATAGAAAAACGCGCAACAAGCGTACTGGGAATTTGGCATATCAACTGCAATTTTAGACAATTGTCCGACATTCAGAAAAATCTACTCAGTGTACAGGTTACTGCCCTCGGTCTCGACTTTCTTTCAACCGGGGCTAATCACTACAGGTCACCGTAACCATTGAGTCACATCATCCTCCGTCTAATTGCCTCAGTTTTTCGTATCCCATAACAACCCTTGGATTCACTGCTTGTTCTTTTTCCGAAGTAAATTTTGCCACTGTTTATTTAATAAAAAATGCAAGAGACTTTTCCCATAAATATCACCAACTCCAGTCCCCAGAAGGAAATCACCTAGACGTATGGAATTGATGGGATTGGAGTGCAGTATCCTTTCAGACTATTGAAACGATAAATTGTTGAATCAGGAACGTTCTGAATTTGAATCTCACACAAACATTTGGATTCTAGTGATAGTAAAGCGAATGGGCTTTACTTCCCTGCATATAAGTTTGAATAGACTCACCTGATGTAGAATAGCTTCGAAATATTTCACCCGAAGACGACTGACCAGGCGCTCATTCGATACACCAAAGAAATAACCCTGTTTGTAAAAAGAAACAACGACGCCAGTCC